ATTTTGGGGGTAAGTGGGTATGTGATTATGTATATGTATGCAGGTATGCATCCATGGGCCCTATTTCCTACAAAATGTTATCCATGTAGACATTTTCCTGAAGATCACTAACAAGCTGAAATATTTGCACAGAAAAGTTGAACAGAACAAATGTCCAACTCTTTCAAGAGCTATATAGGAAACCATGCCTATCACAAAGCAATAAAACAGCACAGTATGTAGGAAAGGTTTTTGATAGAAATGCATACTATAGTATTCTACACATAATTATTTCTATCACTAGGACCTGGGAAAGCTGACTCATATTTCAATAAGTATATTTGCTAAGAGATACTTCCCTTATTTTGAGATGTACTGAATATATTTCTGCATCTCCATCAAAAAGTTAAGTTACACCTGGATGTGTAATGGACTATATCTGAAAGCACAGAGACAACTCTTCAAGCTAGCATAAGGCACATTCATGATGTCTGAAGTCTTCTCAAGTGTAAATAAACCTGGAATGACTGACCATAGATTATCTCAAGGAAAATCTTGTTAAATTATTTCTAAATCCAATTTCAAAACCTTCATAGAAAAAAGGGTCTGGGAGCCACTACTACCTCAGAAATATATAATCCACAATATTTCCAGATTTCTAAGACATTAAGCCCTTAGAGATTTCAAAGATATTCAAAATCATTGCTTGTTTTCTAGCCTAGGAATATTAATGCTACAATTAATATGCAAATCCTTAAATTTCCACCAAACACCATCCTTCATTGCTAGAATTACTTACTTTATATGGCTAATGTTCATGACCATACATAATTATCAATAAGCAGAGAACTGCACTTCAGCAAAGGAAAATATTTTAATTACTCTTGTGTCTAAATTATCTTCACATAATTAATTTGGCTTCAGCCATGGGATAAAGAAGTTATCCCAAAGCATAACACAGGTATAGAATGACAAACTGGCAATAAGAACACAGTGCTATCCCAACTATAAACTATTATGAAAAGAATTAACAGACAGAGCGATTAATATGTAAAAAATAAATATGTGAACTTGTTCGCCCCCAGTTTATCTTGGGACTTGTCCACGATAAAAAATTAGAAAGCATTTCACTTCTCACTTGCTCAGATTATAGACTCTACAGCAAGTACCGGCTTTAACATGCCCCACAAGAAAGTTAAATTTTTTAGTAACAAAATCAAGAGCTATTTCATTTCTTCAAATGTCCTCATTTAAGCACATTCATTCAACAGGCCCATCCAGAATTTAAAATACAGCCACTGATATTTTCAGGACATGATTATGAAAAGGTATCTTATTTCTCCTTATTTCAAGACTAACTAAAATTCAATATTTCTAGAAATGTTTTGATTCAGTACTGTATATTAAATGAATGCTAGAATCCTCCTTCATCTAAGAGTTAGTAATCAGTGACACATTTCCATGAATTCTATCTGCCTGTTCAGTCAACAAAACAAAACCATTTCAAAATACAAAGCAAGAAATATACAGCCTTTAATAAGGCAGCTTTCCACCTGATTTTATTCTATAGCTAATTCTATTTTCCCCTCATTTTTCAAAACCAGTATCATTAAATTTTGACAGGATCTGAAATATGATAGAACCTCAATGCTATTATTTCTATGTAGCCATGCTGTAATTATGTTTCTTTATAATGACAGTTATAAATATATCAATTTAGGTTATGATTTATCCACAAGTGCAACCCTGAAATGACTGTTGTTTTTATGTATTACTATAGCATCAGCTTTAGTGATAATTTACATAATGTTAAACCTATTCCATTGTTTTTAGGAGTCATTTTGACTGAGAAAGGAACAATGACTATGAATATCTGGATGAATTTCCCCCCTATCAATTTAGAAGGCAAGGTTCAAGGAAAATGCACACACCCATTCACTGCCAACTATTGCCAAAAAAGGAGTTTAAGAAACCCCGATGTTATGGAGAAATATCCAATATTTCTTTCACATACATCAGAGTTCGCATGTGACTGGCAGCCATTCTCTTCTTCCTTGTGGAAGAAAAGGAATAAAGTATGAGATTATGCAATATTTGTGAATTCTAAAAGTTCTATATTTTTGTGATGCAGATGATAATAATTTTCAGCAATAACATAAAGCATTTTAAAGTTCTGAAAGTGATTTACGTACTTTATCACAGTAAACTGTACAACATCTACATAAAAAGGTTACTGTAATCTCACAAGAAAAATAAAACTAATTATACTGCCTATGTCTAGGGACTATTCAGATCACTTTCAGCTACATAGTCTCTCCTGTTTGTATCATATTATATATACTAAAATGACTAATATTTCAGAATGTTCTATTGAAGTTCTCAAAATGTTTCATTATTTAAATGTTAAGATCTGTAAAATCATAGCAAAAAGTTTCATAATATACAGAATTCTGCATTCACAAAACATTCTCCATATTAGTTAATAATACAGTATTCTTTACAGACAGGCAAATCAAAGAAGTTGGATCCAAAATTCCTGAGAGGAATTCCATAATTAAGTGGGAACTTTTATTTTCCCTTCCACTTGCAGCATCCCAAAATTTGCTCAAGTGATTTGGAGTTCATCTGAAGGGATATGGTGAGAAGGACTTCAGGACTGAATGGGTGAAAACTTCCTGCCTCTCCTTAATTTACAGAATCAATCTTGGATCCAAATACATTCCATTCATAAATGACTTATTTGAATCCAGCAATATTAATTTTACTGTGAACTTTTGATACACAAACACTGCATTAAATTATTCTTTAAACATGTTTGGGCAAAAAAAGTTGAACTCACCTCTGTACACCATATGGTCTGTCAAGGATAGGTTCTTTAAATCGAGGTGGAATATGTCCAAAATAATCAGGATAAGCAACTTCTGAATATTCAGGAACAGATCTAGTATTTTTCACTATTTCAATATAGAGTTCTGGATCATGGAGTTGTATTGTATCAGGCACTTCAAGTGTTACTTGCTCTCCTAAGGAAACTGAACAAGAAACTTCTTCTTCTTCAGGATCAGGTCCAGAACAGCATAGTTTTCCAAGCTGGACAGACCGTCCCTCAAACAAAATACTTCCACATGATGGAACATGTTGAAAAGGTTTATTACAGGTAATTTCACTAATGCTAGTTTTACATTCATTTTTTGTCACGGTCTTAGTAACATTAGACTGCTCACTTTTGGAGGCATTTTGTAGTGATATTCGGTCAAAGTCTTTTACTATTTCATGATTTAGGCACTGGCATGATGGAAGCAATTTCATTTGATCATCTTGTTGCTGCAAACTATTATCCATGATACCATCATTTTTTACCAATCCCAAAAAGATTGGTCTTTTATTACAGTCCTCACTTTGTAGAAGATTACTCTCCTTCACAGGAATTTGTATCATGTGGTTTGCTAAAGGTGGTTCCTCTCCAGCAGTGGGAACAACAATAGGTCCTCCTGGAGCCATGCTGTATGAAAATGACTTCGGTTCCTTTGAAATGAGGTCACATTCCTTAATATTAAAAAAGAAAAAATGGGGGATACTTGTTAGAGGATTACAAACTTAAAAGTTGAAGAAAGATCAATGAATCAGAAAGAAGGATCTGATCCAGACAGAAGGAGCAAACCATGGAGAAAATGGAGCCAAATAGCAGGTAATCTCCTTTTGAAGAAACTAAATGTGAAAAAAAGAGAATTACCATGTTAGAATGATGAGTTTACATATCAACATAGAAAGCAATATGGTTCACTTCATATGATTTCATATCAAATCAAAATCTACCCAATCCCAATTTCAAATTCTGATTTATCAGATACTATAAGACAGATATGGAAATTTCCGACAACTGGCCAGGTAGGGACTTCAAGTCCTCTCAATACAAACAACCAAAGTTTACTTGTCCAAATCTGATTTTCACACACTATTCCTCTTATTATTCCTGCTCTTGATTATTAATAATTATGGATTTTGACTTTGTCCCTCAACAAAGATGATAGAGATTACCTTTATGCAAATATACTTTTGATATTGTATATTGAATCAAGTAGCAATAACATACATAAACCTGCTCACTTTTGATTCTGGTTTCACCCAGATTTAGTTCTATTAGGCTCACTCACATGAGGGCCTGAATTAATTTCAACATGAACCTTGATGGGGAAAAAGTGTACAACCATTGACAGACCTCCATGAATTTTTCTAGCTCTTAAAAAAAAACAAACGCAAAACCAAAGCCACTTCTTCTGGTAGAGAATATTTAACTGTTTTTTTGTTTCAAGCTTAATTATTTTTATTTCATGATTGCCAGACACAAATGTTAATAATAGACCATTCTCCCAAATGGTTTCCAAGCAAGGCATCAACTAGGCCCAAAGCTGTTCAGCCTCAAAAAGGTAGCTGAATGCTATATGTATCTTTGAGTAAATGTCTAGTCCATTCCACTTTTGCTCTTTTAAAATCCATTTTATTATATTATATAGCAAGATTACAAAAAATAAACAGAAGGCAAAAATGCAATAAGTAAACAATGAAACACTAAAAACGATTAATGAAATACAAAAACCTAAACAAAACAAACAATAGAAAAAAGGGGAAAAAAACAAAATAGAGAAATCCAGAGAAAATTTGAAAAAACAATATTAAATATCTAAATATACATATTAACATGGAGAAATCACTGATTTAAGAAAAAATATCTTATAATACTATATTACTCTCAAATAATGATAAAAAATGCCTAATACTATTACTCTATTATTATAAAGTATCATAAACTCTATACCAAAGAAGAATATGTTGCTTCATTTCCTGATTAGTAGAAAATACTGTCTCTTCCAAAACAGATGAATCACACATTGCTAAAAGCTAGTCCTTAATATCTGGAATAATATCACTTTTCCAACTTCTTAGTGTAATTCTTCTGGCAATCCCCCATGTCAATACAGCCATAATTCCTCAAAGATAATCAGATTCCAAAGTTTTGAGATATAATTCAATATAACATTAGCCTTTTTAATATTTAGGGATTTCCCAATAAATCAACTAATATAGATTAAAACTTTATTCCAAAATAATGTATCTAATTCACAAGACCCAATCACATAGGCAATGAACCCTCAATTTTTTTACATCTCCATCAAAGGAAAGCTGATGTCCATTGTTTCAAATACATAGTATGGGTAGTCCAATAAACTTGAAATACAGTATTTTGATGAATCAATTTTAATCTCAAATCTATTGATACCTAAGGACATGTGATTGTTGATGAGGCATTATTGGATATTCCAATGTTTAGTTCACAGTTGATAAATCCCAGTGGTATCCACTTTAAAACTGTTCTTTAACTTTTGGTAAAGATATGCTGTTGGCTTAAATTCAGTCATGGATTCCATCAAATAAAAAAACACCTCAGATACCTTTGAAGCAGCCATGGCACCTAACCAATTTTGAGCCATCAAAAATGTTTACATTGAAGATACTGCCCGTTGTGAACTAGGAAGACCAAATTCAGTTTAAAGCTGAGAAAAATCTTTCAAATAGTCATTACATAATAACTGGTTTTTTAAAAAATATATTTTTATCCCACCTTTTTTTTCATATACAACTCAAGGCAGCAAGACTTGAAATAAGTATTCTGGCTTTTCTCCAGAGTTTCCAAAAAAACATTTTATCACCTATTTTCAAAATAGAATTCTTCCAAAGAATTAAAAATTCATGAGTCTCAGTATCAAAGTCCAATTTATGCCCCAATAGTGTCCAAAGATTTCCCTCAGCATGCACTCCTACAAATAAAACACCTTTTCTACTGTATATTTATCCAAGAATCTGCCATGACCTTAGTGGAGATACATAGTAACTTTCCAACAAGGCCCATAAAGGATGATACTTCACTAAAGTTTCATTCCACATTATTTATGGCTGATAAAATATAATCCACTGATATTTGTGCAAGTTCAGTATATTAACCCTATTTCAACAAATGGTAATCTCAATTTAGCTAATGAACCCCCTTGGAGGTCTTTTTTTCCAAATAAATTTCTTAAATAACTTACTGATCTGAAGAAAATATTTGGAATTAACATTGGGATATATCTATATAAATTAGACATGGAAGAATATTCATTTTAATAAGATTAATAAGGTTTATTCTGCCCCATAGACTTAATGGAATTTTAACCCATTTATTAACATCCAGAGTGGTCTTTTCAAAAATTTCAACATATTTATTTCCACATATTAAGAAAAGTTTTGGGGAATATAAAGTCCCAAGTATTTAATATAATCAGCAGAGATCACAAAACCCAAAACTGGGTTGATATATTAGAGCCCAAAGAAAGGCAAGATTTATTCCACTTAATCTTATAACCAGAATACTTTCCAAAATACACTATTATCCATATAAAATTAGGCAGAGAAGTAGCATGGTTATCTAAAATTACCAAAATATCATTAGCACATCAAAATAATGTATATACACAACAACCAAAGTAAAACCCGTAATATGCAAAGACTAAATAGCCAAAGGTTCAAGAATTAAATAAAAAAGCAAGGGCAAAGATGGATTACCCTGCTGAGTGCCACACTGTGGCTCAAAAGAACCTGAAATCATTCAATTTGTTATAACTCTCACTCAGAAATAGTTATAGATTTCAATCCAATGGACCATATACACCGGGAAACTGTATCTAATCATCACTTGCTTTAGGAATTTGCAGAATCTGTTCTATCTTTAACTGTATCCAGTATGTCAACTACTAAAGTTAAATTATCTGATGCTTGACAATTTCTGACAAAGCCAGACTGAAAAGGGTGGATTATGCATAGTAAAATCTTTTGCTAGTGCCTAGCCAATGATTAGTTAAAGTCTTCTGTTCTTTCTGGCCTAAGTCCACACTTAAAAAAAAAAAAACTCTATGAATGTGTAAACAAGAATTTAGTACAGGTAGTCCTCGACTTATGACCATTCCAAAAAAGCCCCTTTGCGCTGTGCTCCTGGGCCAGGCTGGGGCTGGGCTTCACTAAAAAAAAGTGCAAAGGGGCTTTTTGGCATGCTGTGGCTCTTTGTGCTTTTTCTTTGTGAAGCCCAGCCCCATCCCATCCCAGGACCGTGGTGCAAAGGGGCTTTTTGGTGTGCCACAGCTCAGGGGCTGCTTTCTGCTTTTTTTTTCCTGCAGCATGAAGCCTGGCCCCAGCCTGGTTCAGCAGCCAGGCCAGGCACATGTCATCATCAGCAGGAATGAGATGGCAAAGACTAGTTAGGGCAGTGGAGCACAGGGTGGTAAGGGTCTTGGAGTGCAGAGTGGTGAGGGCAATTGTGGTTGAGAGTGGGCTGGGGCGGCTGCAGCTTCCCGGGGCATGGCAGGCAGCCCCAGAGCCACGCGGTTCTGGGGCCGCTTGCCGCCCCGCAAGGCAGGGTGCAGGGCGGCCAAAGAGGCAGAGATGGGAGGGGAGATGAAGGTGAGGGGACTTGAAGGCAGTCCCTTATCTTACTGAGGCTTGGGGCTGGGAGAGACCAAGCCCAGAATGGCTTGGATTGGGGTGGGTACTCACGTAATGGCTCACGATTCTCTGTTAAATGATGTCATCTGGGACTGCCAGGATTGCTGTCACTAAGCAATGTAGTCATGTGACATCTCACTTTTCAACCACATCACTTAGAGACAGAAATTCTGGTCCCAATTGTGGTTGTAAGTCAAGGAATACCTGTACTTAGTACTTATGCTTGACCCTGTGATGCTCTATGGAAGTGAAAGTTGGACTTTGAAGAAACAGGATAGAGAAAGTACTGATGCTTGTGAAATTTGGTGAAGAAGAAGACTCCTATGATGGAATGGAATTATGAAGGCCAGGCTCAGGGAGATAAGCATTTTCTTAGCTCGCCGATGGAGCGTGGGAACTACAAGAGGATGAGACTGGCACCTCCCTGAGGAATTCACACTGTTGTGGCTGGCTGGCTTTGGGGCTGGGGGTTCAGTCTGGGGAGATTCTTGCTAGAGGGTATAGCTAATAAACATAGCTGAACTGATTTTGCATTGTCTCTTGGAGTTCCTTGGGCTAGGCCTGACAACTCCTGAGAACACCATGGGTAGCCAAGAAAACAAACAAATGGATCATCAAACAAATCAATCCAAAGTTCTCACTCAAGACACAAATGGCCAGGCTCAAATTATCATATTTTGGAGACATTATGTGAAGACCTAGCTCTCTGGAGAAGTCTATAATGCTGGGAAAGGTGGAAGGAAAGAGAAGAGGATATTCAGCAGCAAGGTGGATGGACTCAATTACAGTGGCAAAGAGTGCACCATTGGAAGATCAGAAGGACAAGGTTGGGGACAGATCATTTTGGAGAAAATCTATGTGGTTGCTAAGAATCAACACCACCTTGATGACATGTAATGAACTAACATGATGACACCTATCAATAAACCAACCTACTCTTGAACTTAGCAATTTTGAAGAGGCAGGAGCAGATCATGACAAAAGCTTGAATTCAAAACAAGTGAAAACACTGTAGGCGATAATACCTCAGGTAGCAAGAGATAAACTGGACTTTGGCTGGATGTTCTAAGAGCTTAATCTTTGGCAAAATCACTTTTACATCTTTAGATTTGGAAATCTATTCAGGGGAAATTCTCACACAGTGAAGAAACTGAGAAGACAAAGAGAGAGAGCACACATGTGCATGACAGACAGATAGGTAGAAATATAAAGGTGCTAACTGAGGCTGTAAGAAGACTAGGAATAAAAGAAAAACAACATGCCAAAGTAGTTATAAAGAAATCATCACAAAAATGGGTGCTCCGAAAGGAATCAAGAAAAAGCAGAAAAAGAATCAGAGAAACTAAGACAGAAAACATAAAAACAGCAGAAAGTTCAAGAAGAATAGTTGCAAAGAAAAAAAATGGCTAGATTTAGCTTGGTTATATTGGTTTCTATTAAGTGAACTCACTCAAGGAAGAAAAAAAAGTAGGTGATCTAATTAGAAGTTTATCTTTTAGTATCAGAAAAATTGAGTAACCCTGAAAGTAGAAGGGATATCAGTAGTTAAATATTATGGATAAAAAGGAAAAGATCATGTCAAAAGATACATTCCAACAGCTACAACTTCAGATATATCTGTAGATTAGCTACTTTCATTAATTTGCTATGGCAACTCACTATGCCTTTTCTCAGTGATTCTTGTTTAAACAGGACACGAAGAAGTTTTGAATAATTATTTGAATTTCAACAGTTAACAGTTATCAGACTGTTAACAAGCCATTAATTTGTTTTAAAAATAGCAACATTTTTACCTGAAAATCCTCCATGAGTTCTGGGAAAAAATGTTCATACATTTTCAGATCTTCCATTGGTCGTCCCAATTCCTGCTGTGGTTTCAGTTTGTTGATATCTGTCTCAATGTCGTCGTTCTAAAGAAAAATGGCCATAAACATAATTAAAAATCTTGTGGAAACTATATTTTTAGGTAAGATTACTAAAATAATGAATAATTCTTGAAAATCAGGTTCTTCCACACTTAGAGAGGAAAAACTTCAAAACATCTGATTGACTGATGGATACTGGTTACATCACACCATTGTCGGCTTTTCCACACTGCTGAGTTTCTCTATCCCTGAGCCAGCAGAAAACCGTACCAACATAAAATTGGCTCTTCCCCATTACTGATCTCCATTCTGCCTCTGTCGTGCCATTTGACTTGATTTGTCCCATGGGTGACAAATTCTTACAATATTATACACCTTAAGGCCACCCTTGGCTGATGTCAGAATATGCTGATCTTTATAATAAATTTTAATATAATAAAATTTAAGTAAGGGAGTAGAATAAGAGGGAAAACATTTTAACACCAATATAGTTAAGAATGACTGAAGCTAGTTCACTCAAGTTTGGCAAAGATGAAGGCTACCTCATGGAGATAGCAAAGGAAAAAGAAAGAGGAGGAGGAGGGGGGGGGCAAAGTTTGTTTAAGCTATGGTTAGGTAATACATGTGGGGAGGGTGTCTCCTCCTGGAAATGGGCCCTCACAGATTTCAAGTGTGGCACCAAACCATGAATCCAGGGCAATGGTGGGGGAGTGGCTGTTGTCATGTGGTAGCCTCTGGAGCACAGCCAGATGTGAGACCCTATTTATGAGGTTGAGTCGTAGGAATCAGTTTGGACTACTGCTTGCTTACCTTCCTCCCTGCAGCGTAGCAGTGTTGCTGCCCAAACTCCTTGACTCTGTGGCTAAGTTGGCAGTGGAGGTCCTCAGGCTTATGGTTCTGGGCCCAAAGAGCCTGCCTTTTTGGGGTCCAGGAGTTCATGGCAACCATGGAACTGATCCAACTTATCGAGGGCCCAATTTACAACTGAGGTCACACACTAGATCATATTTCTGTCTCAGGACAGTGAGATTTTGAACTAAGGTTGGGGGATGTTAGCACCAATCCCTTGTCATGGGCAGATCATGCTCTTTTGGCTCTGGAGTTCTCAGTGACTGCCCTCACTGCTCCCCAATTGTGATTACCCCGTCTCATTCAATCAGATCACCCCAGGTGACTGATGGACTTAACTGGTTTTCAGAGTGAAGTTCGGGATTTTCCCAAAGCTCTGGTGCACAGTACAATCAATGGTTTGGTTGTACTTGGAATAAGCATGGGACAAGGGCCCTGGACCAGATAGCGCCTGTGCAAATTCTTTGTGATAGTGAATACTATATAATTAACTTGTTTACTGAGGAGCTTCGTGAGATGAAGTAACACAAAAGATACCTAGAGCACTTCTTGGCGAAAGAAAAGTGTAAGACGAACCAGGCACATGTAAGGCCTTTATTAGGACTTACCTTATAAGAGCAACAAAATGAGCTTACTTCTCTCCTCTTATTGCATCTGCAGATAGCCAGTTGGTAGCCCTGTTTTGGAGGACCAGGTCCCTTTTGGGTAAGGAGGGACCCGGGAAAGCCCTCGCAGGGCCACTGTGAGGAATATTCTCAGCATCTGTGAGATAAACTTGCTCAGTTTCACTTGGAGTTGGACTCCAACTGGGGGTGAGGGGGGAGGAGTCCTACAGAAGCGACTGAGACATGTCTGAGTTGGATTATCTGGGAAGAGTTTGAACTGACTGTTCCTGAGAAATGGATAGTGTTCTCACTGCTGTGAGCTCTACCACCTGTGTTCTGGACCTTTGCCTCACCTGGCTGGTTAAGGCCTCCCAGGAGGTGGCATGTGGTTGAGTCCAAGTGGCGATTAATGCCTCACTGAAGGAAGGGATGGTGACACCTGCCATGAAGGAGGCGGTGGTACATCCCTTTCTCGAGAGGCCATCCTTGAACCTGATAGTGCTGGATCATTTTTGTCTACTCTTCATTCTTCCCTTTTTAGAGAAGATTGGTGAAAGAGTGGTAGGCAGCTCAGCTTCAAGGGGCCTTGGATGAAGTGGATTATTTGGCCCTGTTCCAGTCAGGGTTCAGGCCAGGTTACATACTGAGATGGCATTGGTCAAACTTGTAGATGACCTCTGGAGGGCTTGGGGTGTACCCATACTGGATCTCTTGGTAGCTTTTGACACCACAGACCGTGCTATCCTTCTGGACTGGCTTCAGAAGAGGAATGAAAGGGTCAAAATGAGTTCCAGGATTTTAAAGAATTCTAGAAAGATCACTCACAATTGTTACTTAATAACTGGATTTTGTAACCTACCCAAAGTCTTTTGGAGTGGGCAGCCATAATTAATCTAATAAATTAAATTAAATTACCTCCTCAACCCCTTGTTTCTGAAAAAACATTAATCAAGGCCAAGTCATGCATTCCATTACCTATTTGTTGCCAATTTTCAGAGTGTTCCTTATCCTGCACTCCCCATAATCTCTTTAGAAGAAGTGTTTTGGAACCGCCAGGGACTCTTTTCTTCCATCAAAATATTCCCTCCTTTCTGCCACCCTCTCAGTATCCAAAACTTCAGTTTGTATACTTCTAATGATCTTAGGATCAAGGTTGCCTCTTCTTATCCTTTCTCTCATAAATTATATATCTTTCCAAGAACAACAGTCATGCCAGTGTTTCACCTATATCAATTTTCCTTTTTTAAATCACTGTACTGCTCCTACCCTTTTGATTTCTGCAAATTTTTAGACCCGATTGTTCTCCCAGGCCTTGGGTTAGGATGGTGGTTGAGCCCCTTTGGATTTTGGTTTTGACATCCAGCCAGCTGTATCTTTTATCTCTTAAGCTACCCAGAATTGCTGTGGAACTGGGCAGCCTCAACATGGAAATAAATAACTAAATAACTAAATAATCCCTCTAGTTACCTTTTAATCACAATGTTCTATGTTAACATAATCATTTTAGTCACTTAGGATGCATTATTCTAATTCCACTAAATAATTCACTATTTACGTCAAACTTCAGAGTTTATTAGATTTATATCCTACCTTTCCTTTAAGAGCTCATGATAGCACACCTAACACTCTCTCCTCAATTTTCCCCCTCCCTATATTAAAGATCATGCTATCTTTATCTCTAACATTGGTCACACATTGGCTTGCTGGGGAATATAATGGGAATATCCTACGGGTTTCCTAGAGGCACTGAATTAGCAATTATTGGAGCAGAATGTTGGATTAAGTTTGCACTTGGTTTATTCTTATGTTCCATATCAGTATACAGTTTTATTTTCTCAAATTTCTGATTTTATTTATTTATTTGATTTATATAGCCACCCATCTCACTTTTACGTGACTCTAGGTGGCTTACAATAGAATAAAATACATAAAATACACAATAGAAGAATAGGACTTCCAGGGAAAATGGCAGATTGAATACGGCTCTGTTTCTTTATGGAGCCAACGCACACAGCAATTAGAGGAGCTGGCAATCAGTTCAGCTCTTAAGAATCATCTCCAGGTAAAGGAGAATGACAGGATCACCCGCAGGTACTCTTTACAGAGGCTCCCTGTGAAGAGATTGCAATCTAGCAATCTCAAGCAGGTGGAGTGCTCTGGGAGTTGAGGGAAAAACATCAAGCCCAAGCCATGCTGCAGAGCCTTTAAATGGACACTAGATTTGCTTTTACTTCCTTTTTAAATTAACATCGTAAACTGTCTATTTGTGATTTATTTGGCAATTAAAAAGCTCCTGAAAGACAAGAAAATTTCCTACTATCCTGGGAGAAAGAAAATTAAAGTAAGCTTAAAGATCAAAAAGAAATATTTTAACATTTGGAAACAGTGAAAGGGAATTAAGAATGTTGATTGGGGACAGTTAAGAAGCTAGATGGATCTGAAACAGCTTTTTAAAGGATTGTTTTAAATGTTTAATATAGTAAGTGAATTTGGATTTAATTGCAAGAAAATCTGTCCTGGGAAAGTTTGCTTCTGAAAATAAATACCAGTAAGACTGAGCTTCGAAGGTCAGAGGGAACAGAGAGCAATTAAAGGAATATATCTCTTTTAACACAATGGAGAAGTATCCTTCTTTTAAAGAAGAATTTTTAGCTGTTTGGAATCAGTGTGTCCAGGAACTATTTTTAAAATTGGGACTAACAGAGGTTATAGAAGAAAAAAAGATTTTATTGGATAATACAGAAGTTGAGGACAACTTGAATAAAAACTTTAAAATGGACTTTAAAGAAATGCCAGATTATAAGAGAGATATGGCAGATATAAAAAAGATGCTGTGAATCTGAATATGGACTCAAAATTACATGATTATGAGAATGATATGGAGAAAGAAGCTGTAATGGATCAGAAGAATAACTCTGAGAGCTATTCTATTTTGCACCTAGAGAAGGGAAGCCCTAGCAGAGAGAACTGCTCCTGTCTGAAGATGCCGGTCACAGATGCTGGCGAAACGTTAGGAAACAAAACTTCCAGAACACAGCCACACAGCCCGGAAGACCCACACCAGCCATCGTATTCCGGCTGTGAAAGCCTTCGACAATACATTGGAAGCCCTAAACTTTTCTGAAAATAGGGAGAGAACAATAAGAGATTACCATTTGGGGTTTTATTTGGAGAAGAGACTGAAGACTGAGCCTTTCAAAAAGAAGAGAAAGGA